TAGACTCCGACCGTCTTCTGTCACAGCTCAGACTCTGAAACAAAAGCAGAACATTGGAAGCTCCATCTGACGGGTCTGCCTCCGTGCTCCGTGAGAAAAAGCGAACTGGGAAGATGAACATGAAGAGGCTGTCTGTCAGCAAAATGCAAACTTTTAAAACTATAAGTTTTAAAATTGGAGGTGTGATTGAATACGTTTGTACTAGATGATTTAATAAGTGCAGCAGAACTACTAAGATTTACCGTTTGTACTGATCACACGTCATCGCTTACATTAAACAGCTCACAACAAGTGAAGTCTGCAGTCTATCCGTTTCATTTCCTCGAAAATGCTTCACTGCATATTCAGGAACACCAAGAGAATGGCATGACGTTATGCTGGCAGTTTGCTACTTTAGCATCTTGCTATCACCTTTAATTACTGTTTGTTACCAAAGTATCGAGGTGTAACGAACAATAGCGTTACCGAACTATTTCACAAGATTTGAATTTGTGAACATTAATCCAATTTTAAGTCAGACCTTCTGCAACAACAATGAACTAAAGTATAAAAGACATTTCCCTTATATTGCAAAATTTGACATGCAAAATGTTATATCATTTCGTAATCGGGCGCTAATGCGTTTAGATAAGTAATGATACTTTGATTATGATAATCATTTACAATATATATGAATTTTTCATCTGAGTGACGAGAGTTCTACAACTTGACTGATGGTTGATGACGGAATCGAGTTATTGGTATTAAATTTTCGACCCGTCTGCTTTTACGAAACCCACGAATTAACCTTCATCTCGAGGCATAACATAGCAGCGACCTGACTTAATGAATCCACGTAGCGATCGCATGGAATTCTGAAATGTAACAGACATATCGAAATTCATAAGTTTGATAGTGGAATCGCTTTGTACTCTCAGTGAGTTTTCGATTAATATTATTATTGTTTCGATTATTAATGTGCAACATGATAAAGTATTTCAGGAAGGCGATAGAGATATATTCTGAAACTGTATAGATCCGTAACACACACACACACACACACACACACGAAGTTGCCAAAATATGAATCTAGGAAAGTTCACTGACTGCAATTAACCGACGGAAAATTCACCGACAACAATTCGCCGACTGGAAAATTCACCGACCGCACCGATTGGAAAATTCACAGACCAGCAATTTGTTGAACGGAAAATTCACCGACTCTACAATTGATTGCCGATAATTTATTTATTAAAAACCATAAAACGTAAAAAACTTAATTTATTTCATACCATAAAGTATTGTCAATATTTCTATAAAATTGAAATCTGCTAATTTTGCATTAGTTTGCTTGAAAATGATAATGATGTGGGTACCTCTAAATTTCGAATAAAACAGATTTCATTGGAATAATTTAATTAAAAAAACTTCTAAAAGATTATTTACACGCAATGCATAATTAGTAATTTATATTACGTGCCACACCCTCTCAAAAACTCTGAAACATTACTGCTGTCATAATTCGCAACTACTCTGGAAAGTCTCAGCGCAATCCTTGTATTTCTTACGCGCAAGGCCACCTTACTGGCCACTCATATATTGCTCAATTTGCAATGTTCTGATGCTTTGCTCACACTGAATCGCTTCAATAAACTTCCAGATATTAGGGTGTGGTGCACATAATTGCATTTCGAATCCACGATGCCATCCTTCAATTGCATTATTTGTCTTCAGAAGGTGTCTTACTCCTCCGTGACTATTCCACATTTCCAGGGAGAAGCGGGGCATTCGGGTCCATGCGTCGCTGAGGACGTCCAATCC